CAGAGGCAGTAGAAGAGCCTCTATTTTATGTCAAGGAATTGTGAAAGCACTTCATAGGAAGTTAAAGTAGCTGTAGCCACACTAGTAATGATTGGAGTTTTAAGACATTAATAGGTGTTATATCTTGTAGGCAAAACCTGGAGATTCTAACAAGTTTTATTTGAGATAAATGTTTTGTGTAGGAGTTAAAGCACAAATTTTAAACTTGGAGTTTAATGATGTTTTAAGGCCCCCTTATGGAAGCCAAGAACGGTTGTGTTGGGCAAATTGTTGGAGTCTTTAACATCTGTAAACGTCATGGTTTAGGAATATCTCTAATAAATAAACATGTAAACTCAATTATTTCCTCATCCTGAAAAGAAAATAATTTTAATTCCTGTATAAACAGGAAGTTTTCTTTTCACTGTTAGCGTTTGAAACACTATCTGTGGAGAAATAAACACCCTTTGGAATAAGGGGGTGGTTTTGGTTTTTAAATAGCTAAAGGCGTATTGCAGGGGAGGTTTACTTGACAGAGACTGTGTGTTTAACTTTGTAAAAGGATTTTCATTGTTTTAATGAAGAAGAATTGGTATTTAGGGTTAATTTTGCAGTGATGCCAAGGAAATGTTCCGGATGTTTGTGTCTTATTTTTAAAAGTGGCTGAAAAGGGTTTCTGTCTTTTCTTCCTTTAATGCTGCTGCCTTCATTTTCCTGGAAGGATAGTTTGAATTAACAGCTTTGTTTCGGGAACAGACAACTAACTTGCAGTAGGTTTTTCTCGCTTTGGGTAAGGTCCGTGCAACAAAGTCAAGAATCATAATTTCATCAGAGCAAATCGTCTTACAGAATGCTGTCAGCACAAATTTCATATCTTTTGATTGCACATGTGACTTAGATTTAATTTTCAATAGATTTTCCTGCATGTCTGCTTGCAAGGTACCTCAATGTTTTAAATCATACTTCATGTAAATCTGTGATCAACCTTTGTAATTCTCATTGGAGTTAACCACTTTGTCTATTTTGGTGAAATTCATTGTGTTCTAAAAGCCTACAATTAATTAGTTTTATTCCATGAATGGAAATTTTTCACATACTTGTAATAGAGACAATTGCAGTCAACAGATAATTGCCAACATGAGAATGTTAATAAAATACCCATGACATCACCTAGTGTATCTGGCTGGTTGAAGAATACCAAAATAGATTAGATAGCAAAGTGGTTAACTTCTGTTGTAGGAGTTGTAACTATGCATGGTATTAATAATGGGTCTTCAACATGTTCTCATTTTGGCAGATGATCTTCCAAAGCCAAAAACTACTGATGTTGTTAGGAAAGGCTCCCTGGCTGAGTACACTGTGGCAGAGGAGAAGGATGATGGCCGACGCTGGCGAATGTTTAGGATCGGAGAGCAGGACCACAGGGTGGACATGAAGGCAATTGAACCGTACAAAAAAGTTATCAGTCATGGTGGTAAGGATGGTGGTGTGCTCAGGGGAACTGTTGGGCAGCTACTTCTTTAAGCTGATTTGGGGAGGCAGAGGAAGACCTTTGGGCTTAAAGACTTGTGGTAATTCATTTGCTGCAGTGTCAAGACATGGTTGATCTAATAATTCTTTATTAAACTAAAGTTCCAAAATGTACCCTTGGTCACATGTACTAAAATGCACCTATGTAACAAGATAGATGTACTCTATCCTACTGTGTCACTGCTACCTAATTTTCTGGCTTCTAGGCCATTGAAAACATTAGCTGTCGATCTACTAAAGCAGAAATCAATTCAAGACTCTTTCCTGTGAAGAGTCAGACTCGGTGAAGTCTAGGTTGGAAGAAAAGTTGACTAAACTTTAAGAACATAAGATATTACTAAACACAAGGAGCTTCTACACTGAAACGTTTGTTATAGGTACAGTGTTTGATTGACATCAGCTTTAGCTGTTGCTTTATAAGTAGACAAAGAAGAAACTTTGATGTTTTCTGTAATTGTATGAATGTGCCCTTAGGGATGTTTGTACATCTCTTTAAGGTAAATAATGAAAAAGCTTACTAAATGTGCTTGACTTTGTGTAAATGTAGTCAGTGTATTGTCACCTTTGTCACTACTGCTGCTTATTTCTTTGTTTTTAGGTTATTATGGTGATGGGTTAAATGCCATTGTTGTGTTTGCTGTTTGCTTCATGCCTGAGAGCAGCCAGCCTAACTACAGATACCTAATGGACAATCTATTTAAGTAAGTAATCATCTTCCTTTCTGGGGTTTTGTTATTTTTAATATATTTGAGCACTACTAGGAATTACTTTCAGATGAAAATTGTGGATATTAAAGTTTTGTTTGCTTGTCTCTCCAGGTATGTAATTGGCACTTTAGAGCTGTTAGTAGCAGAGAACTATATGATAGTTTACCTGAATGGTGCAACAACACGGAGAAAAATGCCAAGTTTAGGCTGGCTTAGGAAATGTTACCAGCAAATTGATAGAAGGTAAGAAGCTCTGCAATTTTTTCTTAAAATACTCACATGCTCAGAGATAGACATATTTAGGAAAAACTGCTGTTTAATGTGGAGTCTGGTCCTTTCTGGTTAAAATCTGATGAAGGAAATTGGTGTATTGAAAACCTCTTCCTAAGCTATGCAGTGTGGGGTGGTGATGCTAAAAACATGCCTGGGTAGTGTTGTGTGGCAGATTTTTTTGGTTGGTTGGGGGTTTTGTGTATGCTTTTTGTTGCTGTTGTTCTCAGGGTGGTTTTTTTAGTGAAAATAGCATTCTTAGAATACTGAAAATTGTTATATTGTAGAATATCCTTACAACTTAATGTATTAACACAAGGTTAATAAGGAGTGTCCTTTGTGGACCACTTCATCATTAGTTGTGTAAAAAGATTCAAAGAAGCTTCTCCTTGGAATGTTACTTGATACTGAATCTTTAGTTTTTATTTTACAGTAGTGTAGCATTTTTTCTTCTGATGGAGGTTGACTTCTAATAATGGGATGTTAGAATATTGTGTTTATGTGACAGTTGTGCTTCTAAAACCATACTTCTTATATATTCCAAAACCCCTGGTCATGCTGCCTTTTTTGTTCTAGTAATTATCCATTGTTTAAATCCTTCAGGTTAAGGAAAAATCTGAAATCGTTGATCATAGTTCATCCTTCCTGGTTCATCAGAACGCTCCTGGCCATCACAAAACCTTTTATTAGGTAATACTCTGGAAACTCTTTCATAAATAATTCTGACAACTGTTTGCTTTGAACTTAAAAGACTGTTTTAATATTGACCTAATGAAAAATGTTTAGAGTTGTAACTGTACCCTGCATTTGTTCTTTCACAGCTCAAAATTCAGCCAAAAAATTAGGTATGTCTTTACCCTGGCAGAACTAGCTGAACTGATCCCCATGGAATACGTTGGCATCCCAGAATGCATAAAACAGTATGTTTTATTATTCCAACATCTTCTACATTGATCATGGGTTAGGACTGGTACATGTTGTAAGTTTGGTTTGAATGTTACACTTGGCACATAATGACTTAACTGAGATCGTTGCTGTCTTTAGGAGGAGTGTCTGTGTCTGACCTCATTGCTAAAGGCAGTTTAGTATGGAGTAGCATGGATAGCCAAAATGTTCGTGTATAGTCATTTTCACAGTGGAGCTTTGTGCAATTACTAAGTTGTGGTGTGTGAATTAAGCCTAGAGAAGGTCTCTAGAAGGCTTAATTAAATTCCAGTTGTTCTGTACCTTAGTGTGTATATTAAACTGGCTTTTGAGTGAGAAACTGTGGGCATGTTAATACTGAAGTTATTTATAATGTCTTCTAAAGTGTTTTAATTAAAATGTGGAACAAGCAAGTGCTGAAATATCACTTGCATTGGATTTTCATTTAAAAGAAAAGCAGCAATGGGAAAATGCTGAAACTCTACCCACTACAGTTCTAAACTGCTTTGGTAAAGAAATAAAGACAGCTTCAATGTAATGTTTTTCCTTCCTGTCCAGATACAAATACCCATTTTAACATCAGCACAATGGTGCTCTGAAATAAGATGATGTATCTTTTGTCAAGAGCATTTGTGAATGCAGTAATAGAGTAGAAACCATAAACTTGGGTCTTAAGAAAACCAGGTGAAAACATGTAACTATGCTGATGACAGCCCATTAGAGAGTATAACACATAAAACCTGTGTTGTCTGCATCATAATAGGTGAGCACAAACTGGGGGAAGGTGGCCCAGTGTCACTGAGCACTCACACAAGGGCACATCCATGCTGGACAAAGTCTCGTGTCCCCTGCAGGTGGATGTTGTTTCAGCAGACATCCAGCTGCTGTCAGTTCCAAATTTAACTCTGTAAGACAGAAAAGCAATTTTCATGGGGTGGGAGTGAAACACATGACAAAGCTGAGGCAGTCTTGTGCTGTCTTTGGAATGTTTTTGACTGGGGTTTTATGGGTGTGTTATGAATATTCAGACTGTCGTTCTGAGTTTTAAAAGACTGCCCTCCATATAGATGAGCCATTTGCTCTGCAAAGTCTGGATTTGGTTAAATAATTAATTCTCAGATTTCTATGGAGAATTATATCTGGGCTTAAACTGTTATGGATACAGATTTTAATGCTAACACTGTGCAAGAGGTAGTATTTAATTCATTTGTTATGTCATAGTAATTAAATCTTAATGGTTTTTGTTTAATGCAAGTAAATGTTGGAGGTACGGTGTATTTTTTTTCTTAATTATATCAGTTTCAAAATTTGATAAGTTTCTGCAAATTCTGTTGACACTAATACTGGTTTGCAGCTTCTGTTGATTTTGGCCTTCATATGTTTTATTTACTGAAATTAAACTTTTCCTCACCAAGGTATGAAGAAGAAAAGTTTAGAAAGAAACAGAAAAGGTATATTCATATTTTGATTAGGGTTGCATCTAGATAAGACAATTTGCACTGCAACTAACTCCTAGTTGATTGGCTTGCCTAAAGGAATAAGCATTTGTAAATATAAACATGCACTAGTGCCCAAGTTTTTATGCATGACAGCAACTATACTGTACTTGCAGGCAGTATAGAATCTATAAGAACTCACCCTGGGTGTTCAGCTATTTGCAAATAGTTTCTATTATACTTTTATATGAGATGTCCACTTTTAAGGGGATACCTGGGTTCTCAACTTCAAGAGGCAAAAGTGGTGCTTCTGTATGAACCCATTAAATCAAATGTCAGTGTTTCTAACAGGAATTGATCTCTGGAGATGAGCTGAATTTAGGTGCTAAGTGGTAGCTATGCATTAGCAGAGATGCAACTCTATAAGAAGTTCTAATATTGAATCTTGTATTTTTTGGTATTCACTACCTTTTTAGTTATTAACTTGCATAGGTGCAATCTAAATTAGTCTTTTAGTGCTGTTTGTATTTGCAGTGCCTACATTCCTTCCTAATAAATACTGGATTTCCACTTTGTTAATTTCCAGTCTCCTGCTAACTATTCAGGCTATTCCACAGCTGATTAATTTTCTTTTGAATTTATATGTTATTTTTTCACTCACTAACAGACTGAAAGATTTTGCTGCTAACTTTGTTTTTATTTTATTTTTCCTTTGTGTGCCTATTAAGGAAGGCTTATTGTCTAAATTGGGTAGAGGAACACTGAGATTGAAATAAAAGGAATTAAAATTATTTCTGGAAGCTCACATGTAAATCTAGTGATGAACATTCTTTAAGAATTACTCTAATTAAGCAATAATTTAAAACATCTCCAGTAGAACAAGCATTTTCTAGTGTCCCTGTTGATAACTTTACCTATACTACCATTACTTTTGTAAAAAGCAGTATGTTCTTCAGTGAAAATTAGATATAGAGATCACAGGCAGAATTAGATACTGAGCCTTTAATCAGGTAGAAAGCAGCTCCTTTTTATGGGTTCATGGCCCAAAGGAGCTGTCACTGTTTCTGTCATTTTGAAAAACTGGCTGGTTATGGTTTGACAGCTGGACAGCTATGCTAGGCACATTGCTTAGGACAGACTTGGTCTTAGTCTCTCGCTTTAGAACTGCTGTTGGTTTTAAAATGAATTTACCTCCATGCACAACTTATTTGCCAGATGATGTTATCAAAACTGTAGCTTTGTACTGTCAAAAGGAAAAGTACATTTTGTGCAGGGCTTTCAATCATCCCCTGGTTTCTGCAAAGCAGCATTTTGTTTGCTGGTCCCAAGGCAGATATTAAAAAATAAATACAAAGTCAAACCCATCAGCATGATGGTGAATTTTCCAGGGTAATTGCAAGAGTCTTAGAAGGTAATAGAAAAAGTATTGCAGTTGAGGAGCCTCTGCACTTGTGTTGATTCAACCTTCTTGGCTTAATTACTATAACATTAAAGGTAATTCAGTGTTTATGAATTCATCAGAGTGGTATTGCTTGCCATTGTTGTCATGTTACCTGTATTGTATTCCTGCTTGCATTTGTTACTATGAGCACAGCCTGTGTTTTTTTATTCTATAGTCAAACTTCACTTTTTAAATGCTTCCTCTCAAGTGCTGTAGTTACTTAAATGGTTTCCTAAAAATTTTAATTTAATTTCTAGGGGGTGGTAGGAAAATGGATATTGAAAAGATCCCAAACATGATGACTACATTAAATAAAAACCTTAATTTAATATTTATTTACTAAAACTTTTCCCATGTAAAAGCTTTGTGTTTTCCTGTTAAGGTTAATAATTTTTCTTAATAATACGAGCTATCAGACTGTGTTAACATAGTTTAATTTTACTACTTTCTTTGCTAAGCAGAGTTGACCAAGAGCTGAATGGAAAACAAGAGCAGAAAAGTGAACAGTAAGTTTGGAGTCCAGACAAGACTGAAGAATCCGCAGATGGAACAATGCTGTTTGTGCTCCATTACAGTGCATTCTCTGTGTGTATGTATTTTATAATCTGTTGCAAAAGGTGCTTTGGACTAGCACACAATGAACTGCTTACTGCTGTATTGGTTTGTCTTGACTTTAATTGCTGTTTATGTAATCGTTTTATACTGCTAAATGGCAAAGAACTCTGTGTTTTCAAAGGATGTTCTTGCAATTGTTTATCTAAATGATGCATGTTCTTCAGTAAAATATTTATATACCTAAATGTTAAAGGAAAGAGATAATATATATATTTTTATGACGGAGCAATATATTGTGTGTACCTGCTGAAGGAATTCATTTGCAGGTAGACAAGGCCATAAGTTACTTGTTGTTATTGTATAAATCTGTTTTGCTGTAAATGGTCAAGTGCATTTCTTTGTTGTCATGAAAACTTGTTTGGATATTAATGATCATTAACTTGACTTTCACAAATACAGAGATCCTTATTTTTGTTCAGTTAGCTTATAAAGCTCACTCCTTTACCTCAGTGGAGTGAGCTTCAACTTTGGTGTCTTTCAGTCCCTTGTTCAGGATGCAGAACTGCAGTTCTGTGGGTGGCAGTTTGTTGGCCACGAGGTTTAAGTCTAAGCCACAAAAGCTGAACTGTCTGACTGGTAAGATACCAGACCTTTTTCAGATGAAGTTGTGAATTTAGGTTCTGCTTCAGTATGTCAAGACTGTCTCAGCTAGCAGTAGGAAATTAGTTCATTGCAGTTTTTTGTGGATGAATCTTGATTGTTACTGGTAGGAACTCTGGTCGTGCTCCATAGAGCATGGGAGCTACACAGGTACTCTAGCCACAATACCATTTTTTGGGCAGAAATATGAGAAGTCTTATACTACCTGTGTCATTCTTGTAGATGAAACATCAATTTCTAAAGCTGTTAGGCACATGATACCAGCACTAATTTAACTTTTAAGAAGTGTTTTAAAGGTTGGGGTGTTTTGACTCCCCACAGTGGTGGTAAATCTGGGTCTGTAAGAGTTGTTCTTGGGCATATAACTAATGTGCATAGGTTTACTGGGACAACAGTAATGCACTGATTGATACATTGTAAAAGTTTGTAACATCTTTTGATAAACGTTGCATTTTCCATGTAAGGGCAGGTGTATGCAAATAAATTCATTCAGGAGTTGAGCAATATAATGTCGCAGCAAGTATATTAAATCTTTGCTTTTGGTGTTTATTGTGCTCACAATTTTGTCTTAATGCCAAAAAATATCACTTTTTAACTGTATTTAATGTTACTCAGTTACCTTATTAAAAAAAAGTTATATTCAACCAGATTACTACCTGACATTGATAAATAGCAGTTGTGAGATATTCCATGGTCAAGGCTTACCAAGTAACAATTGCAACTGTCTCCAGTGATACCTGTATAAACTCTGAGAGCATATGGATGTCAGGTGAGGGAAAACAGCTCATGTCTCTGGAAGTTTATTTAAGTCTGCAGTTCAGATACTTTCATCTCAAGATCTAAGTCCTTCTGTTGCAGTAGTTTCTGTATCAGTTTCAAGGAGATTGATATGCAGGATGTTTTCACACAACAGGCAATACCAGTGCCAAGTTGCCTTGCATCCATTCCATCAGGTTTAGCTCTTGCTCTGAAAGCAGAACACAAATACACTTTCTTTGGGGCTGTCTTATCTCCTGCTTCGATTTTGATGTTGACTCAGATTAATGTAAAGTTCAAGTCAGTACATGGAGCACTTGCAGCCTGTTTACTTCTGAAACTTTCCTGGTGTGGTCTGTACAACCATGCAAATCTGATTTTTTACTGGGTTTGCATGTGTTCTGAGCTAAACAGGAAGCATTCTGATTATCTCATTTCCATTTTTTCCTAGTTGATAAAAGGATTAGTCTCAGTAAAATTATATTCTTCATGGAGGGATTGTAGTTCTCTATATCCTGTGTGTATAGTGCAGTACAGAGTAGCCATTCTTCTGTATTATTGAGATGAGATTGTTAATGTGTTTCCTTTTGGCCCGGGATTCTACAGTTTCATGCTGCAGTAGTATGATTTCTTTTGGAAATGTGTATGTGCTTATAAATGGTTTATTTCTCTAGTATAAGTTGTTGTGAATGAGTATACAGCACAACAGTTGTTCTGTCTCTAAAGATATGCAGTTTGAGAAAGAAGTGTACTAAAGAATTATTCCCGTCTGACTTCTTGCAGCTCATCATTTAGTGGTGAGATGGATGTTTACAAAAAGCAAAGTGGTCCCAAAGCTATGGATAATGTTTTGTCAAACTTAACTTTTTTGAAATCTATAATATAATGTAATATATTTTAATATTTAAAAAACTGAAAAGTTTGAATGTCATACTTAAATAAAAATTATTTCAAAACTTTGTGATAAGGAATTCACCTTTCAATGGCACTTCCTTCTAAAAGTAAGTAATTTTCTTAGAATTTGGTGAGCCCTGTCAAGAAAAAAATTAATGAGGCACTGATTGACCTCTGATTTGGAGGTCTCATCAGTTTTTCTATATTGATATATATAGAAGGAAAAGGTGTTGGTGCCTGGTCATGTCAACTTCACTGATGCTGTCTGCTGAAATGTCTGTAGCTGACTGAAAAATATTGAACTACATTGTGAATAGGCACTTTATTAACTAAATCTCTCACAAGGTAGAAAGTTTCTTGGTTAAAAGTGTATTTTGTTTAGTGTCAAATTTTTGTCAGTGTATCCTACAGATTTATACGGTATTTAGTATCTAGAAAGATGGTTTAAATTCATGTCTTCTCAAAAGTTGTTGTCTTTGGAAATGACTTGAATTCTCAAATCATCCCAATCTCCCTCATATGAGGAATGGAGAGGAGACGGATAACAGCTTGCATGCTTTTGTAACCACAGAAGCCTTACAAGTCTTGCAGTCAGAATTCTTACTCAGTCCTTGTGAATGCAGGTCATTGTCTACAGGATTTGTTTCACTGACTGCTTGTCAGAGACACTTGAAACAATTGCTTTAATTTTACTTTTTAAGGACACCTTTAGTTTTAGTCAGAGTAACACTGAAATGTAAGGAATATTTAAATACTCATCTTCTGAAAGACATATCTTGCAGCTTTTCTACCTTCAAAATTCTAAGTTGAACTACGCTATTTCTTTTATCACATCTCATTACCCACATTAAACTAACGAAAAAAGGGCATTTGTGAAGAGGGTGCAGTCATGTTAGTTTTTCATCATTCTCAGCATGACTGAGATCAGTGAAATCAAAGCCATTCCTTGCTCAACTAGAATTTTTTTTCAGTTTTGCAAATTGAACTGCCCAGATTACTCTGATGTACGTGACTTTTTTTTTTTAGTATTGCAAATTGTCTGAAGAGAAACTATCAGAGTGTTTTCCAAAACATGGTAAAATAAGTCCTTCCTTACTCTAGCTTGCTCAACTGCTAAGTTAATCCTGATAACATGGAATTCCAGGTTAATAAGTACAAATAAATATTCATGGAGGACAGATGCTTAGTTTACCAGTGGCTCTGCAGTTCTGCGATGTTTCTTAGTAATCCAACAAAACCTTTTTATTAACAAGAAAGACCTGAGCAGTAAGGTGCTGTAATGGTTGAATGGTAGATTGAAGGGTTAAGATGAAATTATTATGCTGTCAATTAGTGTCTGTAAACTTTGTTGTGTGTGATAATGGGAAATACGCAGTGTTTCACAAAATGAAGCTGTAGTAATCATGCAAAAGCACAGGTTGTGAGTCATGGATAATAAAGTGGCTTAATTGGGCTAGTAACACTCTTCACAGATGGGACTGTTTTCCTTTGTCCCTTTAATAGAAAATATGCAAGTAGAAGACCCTTCACCTCTCTCTTAAGAATATTACGATCGTTTCTTTTTAAATGAGCTTGTTTTGTGCGTTCTAGGACGTCACGGGGTCATGCGATAAGCACGTGTGCGAATGTGCTAGCGGTCATTACTTAGGGGGCATTTTTTAATGAGGAAAAGCCGCCGCTGAATCCAATAAAGGCCTTTGTACGAGGTGTGGGGCGTGATTGCGGCGTACGAGGTGCGGGTGTGTGGCCGTGGCCGGGGGCGGTGCTGTGGCCGTGGCCGTGTCTGGGGGCGGTTCCGGGGCCGGGGGCGGTGCTGTGGCCGGGGCCGTGTCTGGGGGCGGTTCCGGTCCGGCCCCGCCGCTGTTCCGTTTCCGGGCCGCGGCCGGCCGGGAGGGGCCGCGCTTCCGGCGGCGCGCGGTGAGGGGCGATGGCGGCGCGGGGCCGGGGGAGGGCCGGGGCCGCTGCCCGGGGGCGGCGGTAGGGCCGGAGCCGGGTGGGCTTTGGCGGAGCTGCGCAGTGCCCGGCTCCCGCCCCAATAACTCCGGCCGGGATGGGATGGCGCCCGGAGCCGGGCCGGGCTGTCGGTTGTGCGGCCCTGGCCCCGCGGCGGTGCGGGAGCGCTGCCGAGTGTCGGACGGTGTTGCGGGGCGGCTTCTAGAGCGCCTCGAGCCCTGCCGTGCGTGTGCCCGCCGGGCTCGGCTGTGGGGCGTGGAGGGTTTTATTGTTACCTTTGTTTGTTTTCAATGAGAGCGAGGACAACGCAGGCGCGCAGCCGCGGATGATCAGGACGTGAGCAGCCCTCGCAGTAAACCATGGCGTATCAGCTGTATAGGAACACCACGCTGGGGAACAGCCTGCAGGAGAGTCTGGATGAGCTCATACAGGTTGGGGGCTTGCGCTGTGGGCGAGTAGCTTAATAAAGACAGAAGTTATTATCGAAATGCCTTTGTCGTTCCTGTATCGGGGTACTTAGGGCCAAGGTTTGGGAAACTTACTGATTGAAATCATAAGGGTTTAGTACTCCACTTACTTGTGATGGTTTCTTCTTTACGTTCTGGGTAAAGGAAAGTGTTTTATGTAAGTGGCGTAATCTCATGTGGCTCAGTAAATGAACAGCCAGATTAAGCTGAAACATTGCAGTCGATTTGCTGTTCTTCTGGTTATTCCCAGTAAGTATTTATTATAAAAGATCTTTGTGTAGTACAGAATTGAAATACAAACATAGAAATAAATACAGGAACAGATTGTTCTAGGGATCTGCTTCATTGAAGTGAACTTTTTTGTAATGTTTTTAACTTATACTGCACGTTTGAGCTTACTTTGAAACAATTCAAAACTTCTTTTTTTTTTTTTTTCTTCCAAATACTTTAGTCACAGCAAATCACACCTCAGTTGGCCCTTCAGGTGCTACTTCAGTTTGATAAAGCTATAAATGCAGCACTGGCACAGCGAGTCAGGAACAGAGTCAATTTCAGGGTAAGGAGATGATATCTTAAAGTTTTACGTGAGATACAGCAACTAAGTGTTGATGCAGAATGTCATTAAAAGCTGCATGCTCTAAGCAAGAACTTAAGAGGGTTCATTTTGGTTCTGATAATGACTGTTTTCATGTATGTTCTGTAGGCAGCTGTAAGGCTCGTTACCTTGTTCTGCCAGGGATCTTTTGAATGAATGGAAAAATCAAATGATGAAAACAGGGAAGAGGGAAATGCTTTTTTGATGGATAACATTTCCATCCTCAGTGTCTTGCAGATGAGGAGGGAGACTTTTGCTTCTTGCAGCTGTCCCTAGCAAAAGTGAGATGAGGCCAGATTTTCAGCCACATGAGTAATGTGAAGAGAGACTGGAGAGTTTTAGATCCACACTTTCACTGGATCATTTTGTAGCTATTTTCTGTAGGTATCATAGAAAAATAAGTTGGGGGAGTGTTCCCAGTCAGCCACCCTAATTGATATTAGATAGCCAGCAAGTTGTTAAATGTCAACTTGAATGTAGTGTTAAGAAAAGAATACCACAAAACGCAGCTTCCTGTGAACTTTTGTCATCATACTTCTCTACAGTCTATGTAGAACACATTAATGATGTGGGTTCCTAAGAGACTAGATTTTTAAACAACATAGAGATGTTAAAAATAGCATAATTTCTCTAGCACACTTAAATTGTTTTGTGTATGTAACATGGTATAAAAAGCAGTGTAGCATCTGTTTAGTGGATAATTTTTTTAAATGTTATTTGGAGCTTAAGTTCTAAATTCAAAAATGCCAATTTAAAATATGTATAAGTGAAGGTCAGAAGTTTTCGATATTGACATCCTCAGTAGTACATCAGATAGGAGGGATACCCCTTTATGTCACATGTCAGTTTTGTCATGATTTTTTATCTACTACTTTGTTTAAGCAGTTGCAGAATTCACATCTTGCTATGATCACTGCTGTATTTGATTTTTCTTATGGCCCAATATTTTAAGAAATGTTTTCTCCTAC